AACTGGGATGACATGCTCTCCAGTGTCCTTTAGAATTTAGAATTCCAGGGGGGGGGGGGGGGGGAGAGAGAGAGAGAGGCAGAGAGGCAAATACACTAGATAAATGGATTGTCAGACAGACAGACAGATAGATATACAGACACTGGTAAAGAGACTAGATAGATTGATAGACAAATGGAAAGGTAAGTGAATAACAAGATAGATGGATGGATGGATAGAAGGATAGATGGAAGGATGGATAGATGGATATAGAGACACAAGCAAATAGGTTAGATAGATGGATAGGTAGACAGACAAACAGGATAGAAGGCTAGATAGATAGACAGACAGACAGATTTCTTTCTTATTGGACCTGGGATCCGTACCTGCTCTGCCCCATGTAGCCTCAAAGAAAGGTGTATTGAATGGAATTGAATTACAGTTCATTTTAATGATCATTCTTTTTAACTTTTCTGTGTAAATTGCAGATACAGGTTTGGGAGATTCAGTCTGTTCAAGCCCCAGCATATCCAGCACCACAAGCCCCAAGCTCGATCCTCCGCCTTCCCCGCATGCCAATAGGAAAAAACACAGACGGAAGAAAAGTACCAGCAATTTCAAAGCAGATGGACTCTCGGGCACCGCTGAAGGTAAGGAGGCCACGCGCCTTGGGAAATCTACAGCCCCATTGGTTGCTGATTTGTTTTTCTAATGTGTTGTTAAATAGCAGCAGCATGACTTCATGGGTCATGTGGGCTGAGTCTGGAGAAAAGAAGACCTGGGTTCAAATCCTGCTTCTGACACAGTCTGATAGCTAGGTGACCCTGGGTAAGTTACTTTACCTCTATGTCCTAAGACACTTCCCTAGACTTGATCTACTAAGTCATGAGTGGGATATAATCTCTGTTGGAGAAGGGGATTCTCTATCCCAATAAAATCACAGCTTCCTTGTGAATCCACGTGAAGTCACTTGGTCTCTTAAAGTAGCAAGGTTGCAGGAAATGCTGTTCAAAGTATTGTTGGTAATGTGTGAGAGCTGCTGCCTCCACTTTCCTTATGTCCAGAAACCCTTCAACCTCAAAGGTGCTGAGGACAGAGAGAAAGCTCCCGGCCTCTGGGGTCCCTGACACTCCAAGGCTGGGGTGGTTCCATAATGCCGTGTCTTCCCCATCACCCCAAGATATACCAATGTGTGTTAGTCTCCTCAACAAGTCCCCTTTACACAGACACGATGCCGCCATCCCAGTGACGCAGAAGGACACCGTGTGTCCGGGTCCTGCGGTCTTTAAAATGTCCACCATCATGTATCGAACGCTCCATCTTTTGATTGGAGGTCTTACATAGAGGCACCAAGATACAGTAGGAGAGAATGCCAGCTTTGGAGGCAGAAGACCTGGGTTTGAATCCTGGCTCAACCACTTACTCCTTTGTGACCTAGGGCAAATCACATGACCTCTGTGGGCCTCAGTTTCCTCATTAGTAACATGAGAGGTTTGGATGAGAAGCCCTTTAAGGTCCCTTCCAGTTCTGAGTGTCTACAAGTCATAGTCTTGGGGCGTGGCCCAGGACACAGAGGTGAGCCCATGGAGTCCAGTCGCAGTGGCGCTGGAACCTAGGTCTTCCTGGCTTCCAGGCTGACTATTGAAAACCAAGAATGTTCATCCCCATGCTCTTTACGAAGCCACTCGACTTAATTCTGAGGGAACTGAGTAGCATGTAGGGACTGTATGGATATACGTTCTTTACATGGTCGACCACAGCCGTTCAACTCAATTCTAAGAGAATTGGATGGCATGTATGGACAATGTAGCTAGCCTGAATTGTCACTACTTCCCTGCCTGCTCTGAATTCTTCCAGATTTCTGGTCCCTTTTTATCCATTTCAGTTACATTCTACAGCAAAGCTTATCGGAGGCAAGCAGGAAGGACCAGAAAGTTGTGAGGTCAAACTGGGGGTCTGCCATTCACCTCCCTCACAAGGAGAATCCTTTCTTTGTTTCGCCTGTTTCATCTCGAATGTTGCTATAGTTCCTGGCCCTGCCTGTATCCTAGAGAAATTGTAAAAATAAAATGTGGCCACATCCTTAAATCATGGGTGAAACTCTTTGAGTTCCTCAAAAAAGCCAAAGTGTGACTGCTCTGATCTGGGGGCGGCAGCGGCCATTCCGCCACCTCTGCCCTGTCGCTGCTTATGCTTCAGGCCAGGCTCAGACTGGGAAGAAAGAGAAACGTTGCTCTGTGTCTTGGCTTGACCATTCCCAGCTTCAAGTCGCAATGCTCTTTCTCTAAGAAAATACCTTCGACAGCTGCCACGATGGCGCTCCTGATTCTTTTGTTTGTCTTTTGTTCTGACATCAGCACCATTTGTCCCTCCTCTCCTCCCAGCGAGCATCCTTTGTAACAGAGACCACTGAAGTGGGTGGGGGATGGGGACAATTCAGTGCAATTAAACATCGTGTGCCCAAGTCTGCTGGCATCATTCCGTGCTCTCTCGAGATCGGAGGGGAGAGCGCCTTCTGATCGCGCTTCTTTGGGACCACACTCAGGCGTTCTCACTTCCCAGTGCTCAGGGTCACTCGTTCAGGGTCACAGTTGGTTCTCTTCCCGTAGACATTATGGTGGTCACTGGGTGTAACTTTTTGATTCTCTTGACGTTCCCCGGCTTCGGTTCATGTGTCTTCTTCCCACTGGTTGTTTCTTGGCGTGTCATATCTGTGCAAAGCTTTGGTCATTCCCCAGTTGTGCAGCCGCAGATTTGGGCATCTGCTTTGTTCCTAGCTCTTTGCCACCACAAAGATGCTGCTCTGATGTTTTGGGATCTACACAGTCATTCTGTTTGATGCATTGGCTTCCTTGGCAGCCTCTTTGCTGTCTGCTGGGTCATTCTATCACTATCCCATTGCACAGGGTGATGAAAAAGTCTTTCCATACCAAGTGACCCCTGGTAAAGGAGAAAAATAACCCTCATCCTACTCATATTCCATCTTTCCAATAGCAAATTGTTAATATCAAATACTCACTAACAAAAACAAGTTATTTCTTTTTGGGGACTACATGATTTGGTGAAATGAGCCTTGGACCTGAAGTAAGGAGATACACATGGGTCCAAATCCCAGCTCTAAGTCCAGTTGTATGACTTTGAGTGAGTCACTTAACTACTGTGTTGTCAGTTTCCTTATCTCTAAATTGGGGGCAGTGGGGCCATCTTCTTTCCAAGGGCACCTTGAGGAAAGCACAAAATAGAAGGGATTTGTGAGATGAGTGCCACCCTTGAAGTTTGGGGATCAGAGAATGATGGAGACCTGGAAAGGACCTCAGAGACCATCTAGTGAAATCTCCCCATTTTACAGAAGAGGCCAATAAGAGTCTCAGTCTCATGATGTAGAACTAGAAGGGACCAACCCCCTCATTGTCCAGTTGAAGAAACCGAGCCCCAAGGAGTCTTCCCATTTCCACATGGAATCGGGCAGCCAACTCGGTGTGGGGCCGCAGGTACTCATGTCCTAAACCATGGAGGAAATGGCAGACAGCATGGACCATGAGCTTCCGAAAGACCTGGGAAGGTGCTCCTAGGCACCTCCCCGAGGTGAGAGCCTAGGAACTGGAAATAAAATCTACATGTGGATGAAAAAAAAAATCACAGAAAGCTCCCCACACATGTTCCCTTTGGTCAGTCAACAAGCCAGATGCCAGGCCATGTGCCACGCACTAGAGGCACAGAGACAGAAGCAAAACCATTCCTGCCCCCAAGGAACTTACCTTCTATTAAGGGTGACAATGTGTACCTCTATAAACAGACACAAAATACATTTAAAAGATAATTTAAGGGGAAAGCTCTAGTTTCAGGGCCAATTGGGAAAGGCTTCCTGGAGATGGCAAGTGAACTGAGCCTTGAAGGAAACTAGCTATTTAAAAGTCAGAGGTGAGGGGAGGGCACTCCAGGCATGAGGTCCAGCCAAGGCAAAGGCATAGTGATCAGAGACAGACTGAAGGATTTTCAGAACCAAAGGCAGCCGGGCATCCACAGCCTCAAAGACAATCCCAGATGCCTTTAATTATCTCTATATAAGTCACCTATTGCCTGAAGTTTAAGGAAGTCATAACACAGGCATGTTTTCAGGGAGGCTTGTGGATAGTGAATTTTAAAAGTTAAAAGTTTACAAAGAAGCCCATTTGACAGGAATCACCTTTGTCTTCATTTTCTTGAAATAAACAAATAGCTGCTCTATGAAAATAGTATTGCCAATTTCTCCAGAGACAAGCAAAGCTGCCTGTCCATTCATTAAATGTTTACTATGTACTCATTGCTAGAGATACAAAGACAGAAAGTGAACAGTCCTGCCTAAGGGAGCCTTTAGTTTTATATAGAAAGCACCCAAGGCTGGACCCCAAAGAGCACAAGAAAATTCAGGGGTCACTTTCCCTGGAATATTTTGGTTTGTATCAATAGCCGCTGATTGAATTATAATGGATTGCAAATAATGTTTTCCGCCCAATAAACATTTCATCACCTCAGAAGGTAACGAAGATGCATTTTTAATATCTAATTTAAGTCACACTCAGTCATCTTGGGCACTCCTGTGCTAAGTAGAGCTAAATGTCCCAATGACCAACAAATAGGAATATATAAGGAACTCAGTCAAAACTACTTGAATCGTGTTTCTCCATAGATGAAAACTCTTTAGATCCTAGACAATTTTCAGTGTCAGGAGACTTTTAGAGGATTTTTTTTTAATATACCTACTACAAAACTGACATTCGCAGGAAAAGCATTTGGAAAAGGGAGAGTGGCATTGTTGTTCATATCATGTGGGCATGAAGGCGGACCCTGAGTCTTCAAGTGAAAGAGAAAACCTGCCGTTTCTCAGGGATTTCTGACTGTTCATTTAAACATATTGATACTGTGGCCTCTCTCGATTGCCTGCTTCTTGGAAAAGGCAATAATGTTAAAAAAAAATTGTGTAACATCAGCATTTATGGGGCACACAAATATCAGGAATGAGAACATCCAAATTAGCAAGATTGATACGGGCGAACTGATCTTTTCCATCTAATGGAGAAAGTGCCCAAGTGTGGATCTGAGCACTCATTCCACCCTAATTGTTACAATGTTTCTATTTATTTCTTCATTCTATTTGTTCTCTTAACTCCAGCTTTTATTGCACTGTTAAATATCAACAGTTAAATTCTATGCCTGGGAACAGCAGACGCTAAGGTCTCATTTCAACAGATGGGTGTCTCCTCATCTTTAAAGGCTTTCTGAGGTTTTGTTGATTTTTTAACACCCTAGCTGTTTGTCCCGACACACACGTAAAGTTTCCCTTATAACAAAGAAAAATGGCTCCTCAAAACCAGCTGAAAGAGTGGCCGCATTCAGGACAACGTACCTAAAACTCCACACCCGTTGTCCACCACCTCCCTGTTGAGAAAAGGGGTCATGTTTTATCTTCAGAAACCAAGATTGGTCTTTGCCGTTTGTATTCTAATGCCTCGTAGGATCGTTTTCAGTCATGTTGTGATTGTCATTGTGAATGTTGCTCTGGCTCTCTGCCATCTTTGCTCTGCATCTGATTGTTCATCCAGGTCTTCCCACGTTTCTCTGAATTCCACATAAGCATCACTTCTTAGAGCTATTCCATTACATTCATATAACATAGTTTGTTCCACCCAGTCAACTGGCCCCTACCAAAATTTTTGGTAAGGTTTTCCTACCAAAAAAAAGGTTGGGTATATATGTGGTCTTTCTATCTTTGACCACCTTTGAATATATGGCCAGCAGAGGAAATGCTGGGTTAAAGGAAATGAACAATTTGGTAACTGTTTTGTGGTTGTTCAGTCACTTTTCAGTATGTCTGACTCTCCATGATCCCATTTGGGGTTTTCTTGGCAGAGATACTGGAGGGGTATGCCATTTCCTTCTCCAGCTCATTTTACAGATGAGGAAACTGAGGCACACAGGGTTAAGTGACTTTCCCAAGATCACATGGCTAGTAAGTATATGAGGCTGGATTTGAACTCAGGAAGATGAGTCTTCCAGACTCCAGGCCCAGTGCTCTATCCACTGTGTCACCTAGCTGCCCAACTTTTCTCACCTAATAACAAATCATTTTCAAGAAAGATTGGATCAATCCATAATTCTACCAACAATGTAGAATATATATAATATATATATAAAATTATATGTATGCTATATTATATTATTATAAATTATATTATAGTATATATAATTATATATGCTATATTATATTATTATAAATTATATCATAGCATATATAATTATATATGCTATATTATATTATTATAAATTATATTATAGTATATATAATTACATGTATATTTTATGTAATGTATAATTTTCTTATAAATTATATTATATTATTATAAATAAACAGTATGTATATATAATTACAAGTGGATAAGACAAATCCTGCAAGTTATAGTATTACATAACAACCACATATTTATATATTCATATAAATATTTATTTTCTATACATTTATATAAAATATATTTATACAAAAATTATCTGATAGATATGACAATTTTTCTGTTATACCACCCTTTCAAATTTTTTGTGGAATACTGATTTTTAAGGAACATCAGCTTTATTTATATATTTATATGCATATAAAATGTGTGTGTAATCTATAATAATATATTATAAATATATAACTATGTATATAGATAAATATTTTATTGAGTTGTATTCTGTTCACTTCTCAGATAGATACCTAGACACTTACATGATGTATGACTCTGGGTAAAATCACTTCATCTCCCTGAGCCTCAGTTTCCTCATCTGTAAAAAGAGAAGATACTTATAGTCCCTACCTCACAGAGTAGTTGTGAACTTGAAATATAACAATATATTTAAAGCCCTTCCCAAACCTTAAGATGCTCCAGAAGAGGTGGCTATTATTATTCTGAAGGAATAAATAGCACATGATTTTATGAATTGATCGTGCGTTTACAATGACCTGCTGTGAATACGATCTTTCACTGCCTACCTGTTTTGGGTGAGTCCAAAGTGAATGGTTAAATTGATTCTTGTCTCTGAATTTTTATAGTCTGAGAGCTTTCTTGCCCAAA